GATTTGGGGGATTTGGGGGGTCTCAGATGGATTTTAGGGGGATTTGGGAGGTCCCAGGTGGATTTTGCGGGATTTTGGGGGTGATTTTGGGAAAATTTCAGGATAATTTTGGGATGATTTTGGTGGTGATTTTGGGGTAATTTTGGGTGATTTTGGGATGATTCTGGGGGTGATTTCGGGGTGACTTTGGGATAATTTAGGGATAATTTAGGGATGATTTTGGGGTAATTTTGGGTGATTTTGGGATAATTTAGGGATGATTTTGGGGTAATTTTGGGTGATTTTGGGGGTGATTTTGGGATAATTTAGGGATGATTTTGGGCGTGATTTTGGGATAATTTCAGAATAATTTTGGGATGATTTTGGGGGTGATTCTGCGGGTGATTTTGGGGTAATTTAGGGTGATTTTGGGATAATTTAGGGATGATTTTGGGATAATTTAGGGATGATTTTGGGGTAATTTAGGGTGGTTTTGGGCCCTTCCCCCCAGGCTCGCTGTCCATGCGGGAGCTCCTCCCCTCCCCCCCCGGGGCGCCCCCCGGGCCCCCCCCCGAGCCCGAGGTGAACCTGTTCCTGCTGCCCCCCCTGGAGGAGGAGCCCGAGGACGCCCTGCCCCGAGGTGAGACCAGTACGGACCAGTATGGACCAGTACGGACCAGTACGGACCAGTACGGACCGGTGCGGGCCCCCAGAGACAGCCCCTGTGCCCCCTGAGCCCCTTCCCAGTACGGCCCAGTATGGCCCAGTATGGCCCAGTACACCCCAGTCCCCTCTGAACACACCCCAGACCCCCCCAAACCCCCTCCCAGTACAACCCAGTACATCCCAGTACAACCCAGTACGTCCCAGTCCCCTCTATACCCACCCCAGACCCCCCCAAACCCCCTCCCAGTACACCCCAGTACATCCCAGTACATCCCAGTACACCCCAGTACACCCCAGTCCCCTCTGAACCCACCCCAGACCCCCCCAAACCCCCTCCCAGTACATCCCAGTACATCCCAGTACATCCCAGTACATCCCAGTACACCCCAGTACACCCCAGTCCACTCTAAACCCACCTCAGACCCCCCCAAACCCCATCCCAGTACATCCCAGTACATCCCAGTACATCCCAGTACACCCCAGTCCCCTCTGAACCCATCCTGGAACCCCCAAAACCCCTTCCCAGTACATCCCAGTACATCCCAGTACATCCCAGTCCCCTCTGAACCCACCCCAGACCCCCCCAAACCCCCTCCCAGTACATCCCAGTACATCCCAGTACATCCCAGTACATCCCAGTACATCCCAGTCCCCTCTAAACCCATCCTATAACCCCCCAAACCCCCTCCCAGTACATCCCAGTACACCCCAGTACACCCCAGTCCCCTCTAAACCCACCCCAGACCCCCCCAAACCCCCTCCCAGTACATCCCAGTACATCCCAGTACATCCCAGTACATCCCAGTATATCCCAGTACATCCCAGTACATCCCAGTACATCCCAGTACACCCCAGTGCCCTCTGAACCCACCCCAGACCCCCCCAAACCCCCTCCCAGTACATCCCAGTCCATCCCCGTGCTCCCTAAACCCCCTCCCAGTCCAAGCCTGTCCCTCCCAGTACAAACCAGTACAAACCAGTATAAACCAGTACGAACCAGTGTGTCTCCGGCAGGCGGGGGAGGGGCGCTGTTCCCCGCCCTGCCCCCGTTCCGCGGCCGGGGGGGGCTGGGGGGGCTCCTGGCCCGGCTGCGGGGGAGGGTCCTGGCGGCCGCGCGCTCCCAGTTATCCCACAGCCTGCTGACCGAGCGCAACTGGTGAGACTGGGAGCCACTGGGAGGGACTGGGGGGGACTGGGAGGGGTTTGGGGGGGACTGGAGAAAGGGTTAAAGGCGGATTCGGGGTTACTGGTTTATACTGGGAGGGGTTTGGGGGGGACTGGGATAAACTGGGAGGGGTTTGGGGGGGACTGGTTTACACTGGGAGGGGTTTGGGGGGCACTGGTTTATACTGGGAGGGGACTGGGAGCCACTGGGAGGGGTTTGGGGGGCACTGGGAAAGGGTTAAAGGCGGATTCGGGGGGACTGGTTTATACTGGGAGGGGTTTGGGGGCGACTGGTTTGTACTGGGAGGGGATTGGGGGGGACTGGTTTGTACTGGGAGGGGTTTGGGGGCGACTGGTTTGTACTGGGAGGGGATTGGGGGGGACTGGTTTATACTGGGAGGGGTTTGGGGGGCACTGGTTTATACTGGGAGGGGTTTGGGGGGGACTGGTTTATACTGGGAGGGGTTTGGGGGTCACTGGTTTATACTGGGAGGGGTTTGGGGGGGACTGGGAGGGGATTGGGAGGGACTGGGAGGGGATTCGGAGGGACTGGTTTATACTGGGAGGGACTGGGGGGGGATTGGGAGGGACTGGTTTATACTGGGACGGACTGGTTTATACTGGGAGGGGTTTGGGGGGCACTGGTTTATACTGGGAGGGGTTTGGGGGGGACTGGTTTATACTGGGAGGGGTTTGGGGGGCACTGGTTTATACTGGGAGGGGACTGGAAGCCACTGGGAGGGAAATAGGAGGGACTGGTTTATACTGGGATAAACTGGGAGGGGATTGGGTGGGAATTGGGGTAACTGGGAGAGACTGGGATGGGACTGGGAGGGGTTTGGTGGGGGGACTGGGAGGGACTGGTTTATACTGGGAGGGAACTTGGATATATTGGGAGGGAACTGGGAGCAACTGGGAGGGACTGGGAGAAACTGGGAGGGACTGGGAAAGGGTTAAAGGCGGATTCAGGGCTACTGGTTTATACTGGGAGGGGACTGGGAGTGGATTGGGGGGAACTGGGAGGGCACTTATTACCTGTACTGGTCCATACTGGTTTATACTGGTCTGCACTGGTTTATACTGGTTTTTACTGGTGCAGGTTCCATTACGCCGCCCGCATTTGGGACGGGGTGAAGAAATCCTCAGCCCTGGCCGAGTACGGCCGCTTACTGGGATAAACTGGGAGCACTGGGAGCCTCGTCCTGCTCTTAATTACTGCCCGGTCTTCATTAATGACCGCCCTCATTGATTAATGAAGCCTAATTAGCATCACAGAGGTTTAATTACCTCTTTTCCCCTCACGAGAAAAAAGGCGGGAAAACCCCCCATAGATAGGGGGCTCTGAGGCGGCTTCCGGTGGGGCTCTGAGGGGATTTCCGGTGGGGCTGTGAGGCGGCGGCGGGAGCGACGCCTTCCGCGCTAATAAACAGCCAGAAACCGCCAGTTCTTGCTCTTAATTAGCGCCAAATCGTGATTAATTGCTCTTTCCTAGGCTTAATTAGGCCTAATTGCCCTCACGGAGGTTTAATTACCTCCTTTCCCCTCACGTGAAAAAAGGCGGGAAAACCGCCGCTGACCACAGAGCTGGGAGGACCCGCGGGGTAGAGCGCCCCCCGCGCATGCGCACAGACAGCGGGAGGCCTCCAGCGCTCCCTATGGAACCATAGAGTGGCGCGGGGCAGAGCGGCTCCGTGAGGCAGCGCTGAGGAGACTTCCGGTGCGGCTCTGAGGGGATTTCCGGCGCGGCCGCCATGGCGGAGATCCCGTTCACTCGGGTGGTGTCGGTGACCAGCGCGGACCCGGTGGGTCCCGGGGAGGTTCGGGAGGACCCGGGATGGGCTCTCCGGTACCGGGGTCGGTTCTGAGGGTTCGGTGCGTCCGCAGCGGCACCCGGCGGAGAATCTGCTGCGGCCCGAGGATGGCGGGAAGTGGAGGGGAGCGGCGGCGGGGGAGAAACAGCTGAGCGTGGTGCTGGAGGTGGGACTGGCGTAAACTGGGGGGGACTGGGAGGGGACTGGGAGAGGAGTGGGATAAACTGGGAGGGGACTGGGATGAACTGGGAGGGGATTGAGGGGGACTGGGATGGACTGGGACAAACTGGGAGAGGACTGGGAGGTGATTGGGATAAACTGGGAGGGGATTAGGAAGGACTGGGGTGGACTGGGAAGGGATTGAGAGGGACTGGGATGGACTGGGAATAACTGGGATAAACTGGGAGGGGATTTGGGGGGACAGGGATGAACTGGGAGGGCATTTAGAGGGACTGGGATGGACTGGGAGGGTATCGAGAGAGACTGGGATAAACTGGGAGGGACTGGGATGGGACTGGGATAAATTGGAAGAGGATTTGGGGGGATTGGGAGGGACTGGGATGGACTGGGAGGGTATCGAGAGGGACTGGGATAAACTGGGAGGGGATTGAGATGGACTGGGATAAACTGGGATGGACTGGGAGGGGGTTTGGGGGCACTGGGAGGGG